TTGGGCTTGCAAGCCTGAAAATGGAGGAAGTCTCAGGCGGGAGCCTCGTCTGTGAGTGAATTGGGAGGAAGTCTCAGGCGGGAGCTCCCTCCCTATGTGGCCCGCAGATCATGTTGGTAATCCGAGCGGGTCATCGGAAACCTATAACTGTCGTCACTTTTGGGTTCCTCAAGCCTGAATTTGGAGGAAGTCTCAGGCGGGAGCCTCGTCTCTGAGTGAATTGTGAGGAAATGTCAAGCGGGAGCCCCCCCCCCCTATGGGGCCCGCAGATCATGTTGGTAATCCGAGCGGGTCATCGGAAACTTGTAACTGTCGTCACTTTTGGGCTCCTCAAGCCTGAATATGGAGGAAGTCTCAGGCGGGAGCCTCGTCTGTGAGTGAACTGTGAGGAAGTCTCAGGCGGGAGCCCCCTCCCTATGGGGCCCGCAGATCATGTTGGTAATCCGAGCGGGTCATCGAGACCTTGTAACTGTCGTCACTTTTGGGCTTGTCAAGCCTGAAAATGGAGGAAGTCTCAGGCGGGAGCCTCGTCTGTGAGTGAATTGGGAGGAAGTCTCAGGCGGGAACTCCCTCCCTATGGGGCCCGCAGATCATGTTGGTAATCCGAGCGGGTCATCGGAACCTTGTAACTGTCGTCACTTTTGGGCTCCTCAAGCTTGAATTTGGAGGAAGTCTCAGGCGTTTTTGCCCACGGCGGAGGCGAAGCAGCTCGCGGCAGAGCTGGGCTTCGTGTTGCCTTCCGCCTGAGCGCGGCTGCGCCTCGCTCGAAACCCGCGGGGTTGTCCCAACGGCTTGGTCTTGCGCGCCAACGGCTCGCGGGGTTGTCCCGACAGCCTGGCCCGCGGGGTTGTCCCAACGGCTGCGCGACGTGACCAGTAGAGAACGCGTCTGTGCTGGCCGTGGCGGCGACGGCGCCGAGGAACATCGACATGCGCGCTCATGCAACAAGAAGGGGAGGAGGTGGCGGGGCACGGAACAAACAGGGGGGCGAGGATGGGGACAACGTAAGGAGTGGAAGGGGGGCCCCGCGCCAAGGCGACAGGAAATATACGCAGAAGAGACAGCCAGGACGCCTCACCAACCACGAGGACGACGGTGATGGTTTTTTCCAGATTCGCCCAGAGGATTATTATGCGGGGTTCTTCCGTCGGAGTAATTATTATTATTATTAGTATTATTATTATTATTATTCCCCACATCCAAAGTGGGGTTCTTGTTTTCTCTGGACACCCCGCGCAGGAACAGGACAGGAACACACACACACACACCCACCCACACTCACTCGCACTCTCTCATCATCAACCTCATCAGCATCACCGATGATGCTCTCTCACATGCTTAGTCACTCACATACTCATCATCATCATCACTCGCACTCTTCTCACACGCTCACGAACATCATCATCATCATCATCATCATCATCATCGGCATCGGCATCGGCATCATTCTCATTCAAACATCATCATCGCCACCACCATTCACAATCAATCATCATCCTCTTCACCACTCATCTTCACCACCACTCATCATCCTCATCCTCATCATCGTTGAGTAAATTGTGAGGAAGTCTCAGGCGGGAGCCCCCTCCCTATGGGGCCCGCAGATCATGTTGGTAATCCGAGCGGGTCATCGAGAACCTGTAGCTGTCGTCACTTTTGGGCTCCTCAGGCCTGAAAGTGGAGGAAATCTAAGGCGGGAGCCTCGTCTGTGAGTGAATTGGGAGGAAGTCTCAGGCGGGAGCTCCGTCCCTATGGGACCCGCAGATCATGTTGGTAATCCGAGCGGGTCATCTGAAACCTGTAACCGTCGTCACTTTTGGGCTCGTCAAGCTTGAATTTGGAGGAAGTCTCAGGCGGGAGCCTCGTCTGTGAGTGAATTCTGAGGAAGGCTCAGGCGGGAGCCCCCTCCCTATGGGGCCCGCAGATCATGTTGGTAATCCGAGCGGGTCATCGGAAACTTGTAACTGTCGTCACTTTTGGGTTCGTCAAGCCTGAATTTGGAGGAAGTCTCAGGCGGGAGCCTCGTCTGTGAGTGGATTGTGAGGAAGTCTCAGGCGGGAGCCCCCTCCCTATGGGGCCCGCAGATCATGTTGGTAATCCGAGCGGGTCATCGGAAACCTATAACTGTCGTCACTTTTGGGCTCCTCAGGCCTGAATTTGGAGGAAGTCTCAGGCGGGAGCCTCGTCTCTGAGTGAATTGTGAGGAGCCAACTGTAGGCCACTTCGTGTTCGTCGTGTTCCCAGAACGCTATTCCCGGCACGCATCCACTGGGACGCGTCCGCGTTCATGCCATCGAGGAGATAAGCATGGTGGCAGCCGCGCTGTACAACGCGCTGGGCCTTCGCGCCTGCCACGGACGCAGTGACACGCACGACGTGCAGGAGTCGAACTACCAGCGGCCACACCACCACTTCGGGCGCGTGCCCATCATGTTGCACCTCGGCGAGTTCCTGCAGCTGAAGCCCACCGGCAGCGTTGGCCCCCTGACGGACGTGAACGAGCGCCTGGACGACGACGAGTCGTACAGGTACGCGGACCCGCCGACGGTGGAGATCCAGCACGCCATCAAGGTTTTCTCTCATATCCTCTGCGTCTTCGAGCTGAAGGGCACGAAGCGCTTCGAGCCCGGGGACCCTCTGATCACGCTCCTGGGCTGCATGCGCGAGGGCAAGCCCTTCCCACCTGAGGTCTGGTCCGCCTGGGAGAAGACGTTGGCCACGGACAACCAGGGCGTCCTGGGCCCTCGGCACCAGCACGAGAACTTTCGGCTCGGCTACGGCATGGGCATATACTGGGAGACGCTGGCGAGGTGGATCAACACGCGCGCTCGTCGCGACGCTCGGCGTCTGGGCGTGCCCCTTGTTTTCCTGCAGGCCGTTGACGAGTGCGGCACGATTCAGGGCGAGCCCGACGCGGGTCGGCGCCTCCTGAACGTCCCGAACATGCACAAGACGGGGGACATCCACGGCGTTTTGCCGGCCCACGTCGGCATGGAGGTGCGGTTCACGGCAGCGCAGGAGGAGCTGAAGAAGAAGTTGGGGCTCGTGCAGGAGCAGCGGGCCACCGTCGTGTCCTTCGAGTTCCACCGCGAGGACGAGCAGCGCTACGAGGAGTGCTCGGCAGGCCAGCTCTTTCGCCCCCGCTTCCCACCGCAGGGAATCTGGCTGCAGGCGCACGGCTCCGAGGAGTCTCCGATCTACCAGGAGGTCGCCGAGGTGCTGCGACAGGGCGCCGAAGGCTCCGACGACGACGGCCAGGCCGAGGCGCGGGCGCGGAGCTTGCTGATGTTCAGGCCCAGCGAAAGGGAGTTCACATGGCAGAGCTCGGGGGCGCACAGCGTGCGCCGCTCGGGGTTCACCCTGACGCACGCGTCCTACCTGACCTCCACGCTGTCGCAGGGCCAGACGCTGCGCAAGGGCGTCACCATCGACTGCGCGAGAGACGAGGACGCTGGCCGCACGGGCATGTCGGACGAGCAGTGGTGGCTGCACCTCTACGTCATGTTCTCCCGCGCCACGTGCGTGCGGAACATGCTGATCCTGCGGCCGCCGCCGCGAGAGTTCCTGGAGTGCGGGCCGCCGGCGTCCCTGCGGAAGGCGCTCCTGGAGTTCGACAAGAGAGCGGTTTTGTCCAGGGCGGAGGCGAAGCAGCTCGCGGCAGAGCTGGGCTTCGTGCTGCCTTCCGCCTGAGCGCGGCTGCGCCTCGCTCGAAGCCCGCGGGGTTGTCCCAACGGCTTGGTCTTGCGCGCCAACGGCTCGCGGGGTTGTCCCGACAGCCTGGCCCGCGGGGTTGTCCCAACGGCTGCGCGACGTGACCAGTAGAGAACGCGCCTGTGCTGGCCGTGGCGGCGACGGCGCCGAGGAACATCGACATGCGCGCTCATGCAACAGGAAGGGGAGGAGGTGGCGGGGCGCGGAACAAACAGGGGGGCGAGGATGGGGACAACGTAAGGAGTGGAAGGGGGGCCCGCGCCAAGGCGAGAGGAAATATACGCAGAAGAGACAGCCAGGACGCCTCGCCAACCACGAGGACGACGGTGATGGCTTTTTCCAGATTCGCCCAGAGGATTCTTATGCGGGGTTCTTCCGTCGGAGTATTTTCATTATTATTCTTATTAGTATCATTATTATTCGTAGTATTCTTATTAGCATTTTTAATAATAATATTATTATTATTCCTCCTCCTCCTCCTCCTCCCCCTCCTCCTCTTCCCCCCCCTCATCTTCCTCATTTTCCTCCTCCTCCTCCTCCTCCTCCTCCTCCTCCTCCTCTTCCTCCCCTTCCTCCTTCTACCCCTTTTCCTCCTCTCCCTCTTCCCTCTGCTTCTTCTCCCCTTCCTCTTTCCTCCTCTGTCTTCCTCGTCCTCCTCCTCCTCCTCCTCCTCCTCCTCCTCCTCCTCCTCCTCCTCCACCTCCTCCTCCTCCTCCTCCCCTCTCCATTTCTTCGGGAGCACTCCTGGGGCCTCTTTGGACCGTCTCGGGGGCCGTGCTTGGCGCCCGCGGGACCGCCCTTCGGGGTCCCCGAGGTCCTTCGTGGTCCTCGCGGGTCGCCTTTTGAACCCTCGTTGGCCGTCTTGGGACCCCTATCTGCGAAGGTGCCCTCGAGGGCGCGAGGCTATTCGCGCTTCGCGCTGCGGCTCCGATTCCTCCTCGTCCCCCTCTCCTCCCCTGGGAGGCGGCGCGAAAGAGCGCGAAGTCATTCGCGCTTCGCGCTTCGCGCTTCGCGCAGCGCGAAGCGCGAAGCTGGGAGCCCCTCTATCTGGCCCTCTGGGGCTTCTCTTGGCCGCCCGATCTGCGGCCCCAGCATCCGCCCCGCTTCGGGGCAGAGGGGCCGCGGCGGGGGGCCCAGGGCGCGCGAGCGCGAGCCCGACTTCTGCGGCCGCGCCCGCCGAAGTCTCCTCCTCCTCCTCCTCCTCCTCCTCCTCCTCCTCCTCCTCCTCCTCCTCCTCCTCCTCCTCCCCACCCCTGCGCGGGGGGCGCTCCCGCCGCCGGCCCCGCCAGGCGCCGACCTCGTCCGCGACGAGGGGTACTTCCGCCGCTGGCTCGACAAGCTGATGGACGACGTGGAGCCGGCCCCGCCGCTGGAGAAGAAGCCCTTGCGCTTCCCCCCGATGACGAAGATGTGCCCGCGGGGCGCAAAACTGGCGCAGGGGCGTAGTTCTCGGGCGGAGAGACCTACAGTGAGCGTCTTGAGTAAGGAACGCTTACTTTTCAAAAGGGGCTCGGTCGTTCCTTAGGCTTGCATGCGATATTTACAGTTCCTTATGCGTTATGTGTTCTTTACCGTTCCTTATGCGTTATTCCTTGGGATTAAAAAGGGGTTTCGTTCCTTATTTATCGTTCCTTAGGTCAGGCCGATGACTGTATACACGTGCACCGAGCCTGGCAAAGGCCCGTCCTTGGCCCCGGGATCGGTGCAGAGGCCTTCCTGGCCAGGGTCGAGGGCGTATGCGCCGACCCTGAGCGCAGGAGGGGCCTGGCCAGAATCGGTGTACAGTCGGGGCCCTGAAGAAGGAACCCTTTTGGTTGGGGAGGGGCTCCGCGTTCCTTAGGTGTTTTACAGCTTGCCTCAGGTTTTCCTTGTGTTTTCGATGGGAAGTCGAAGCTTAACTTGTGGAGAAAAGGGGCCCCGCTCCTTATGTTGGGTTCCTTAGGTCAACGCCCCGACGGTATGTGCATAGTTCTCTTGCCTCTAACCTCTTTCGGAGCTCCGCGCGGACTTCTCGGCGTGGCGCGGGGCCCCCCCCGGGGCAGCGCTGCCGGCGCCACCCTCGTGGCGGAGCCCCGTGCGCCGGCGAGGGGGGGCCCAGCGCCGACGCGAGAGGTTCGCCCGGACCTCCAAGAAGGTGTGCTTTTTCCTCCGAATGTGACGTCGCCGACACAAATCAACAGATTCAGGAGGGACAAAAACACGCAGACACAATGAATCGTCGATTCCCCCGAACACATGGGAAGGTTTGGGAGGTGGGGGGGGGAGACAAGAACTCAGAAAAAAAACATGAGAAGACACGGGGAACCAGGTTATTTTGATGGGCGTGTTTTCCACCACCACCATCATAAGTTGGAGGGGGTGGGGTCCTCCTCCTCCTCTTCCTCCTCCTTCCCCCCTCCAACTTATGGTGGTGGTGGTGGTGGTGGTGGTGGAAAACAGGCTCATCATATTTGTGTGTGTATTTATTTGTGTGTCCCAGGGCCCCTTCAGAGAAGTTGTGCTTTCCCTCGAATGTGACGTTGCCGACACAGTCAGCATACATTGAGACATCAGGGAACGCCGCCGGAGCCCCGAAGCCCAAAACTCTGCGCCATTGTGGGGGGGCCCGGGTCGATTCTGGAGGTCCCTGGGGCCCGAAGCTCGGGGTCGGGCGAAAGGGGGGGATTGGGAAAGGGGGGGTACGAAATTTGCTGCAGGCAGCTGGTTTCGGCCTCACCGAGGGGCCCATTCCTCGATGCATAGGCGCCTCCCGGCGCCCGGAGGCGCCGGGAAAAAAGGCTACGTGAGCTGATTCTCACCCCCCCTTTGCTATCCCCCCCTTTCGCCCGACCCGAGAAGCCAGGCGAAGACGCCGGCGCCGATCTGATCATGCGCCCAGACCTCCATGGCATCATCATGTCGGGTGCTGCGGCAGTGCCTTTGGCGTAAGTCCGGCCTGTCCCTCTACAGGAGGAAAACCCAAAAATAGTTCAAAACATAGTCTGGGGGTGATTTGTTCGACCATGTTTGAATGGTTTAGGGTATCTTTTTAAAACTGTTTCTAATTTACAGTCGGGGCCCTGAAGAAGGGCTCCGTGTTCCTTAGTTGCTTTACAGTGCTCCTCGGGTTTTCCTATGTTCTCCTGAGGTTTTCCATGGAACATCGGATATTCATATTTGGGAAAAAGGGGCCTCGTTCCTTATTTATCGTTCCTTAGGTCAACGCCCCGACTGTAGGGGGGCAGGCCCGACTGAACCCTTGGCACAGGTGGCCCCCAGGATTTTCCAGCGAGGCCTCCCGGGCCATCCCAGAGCACTCCGCACGAGGCCCCCCGAGAACCCCCCGAGGGCCTCCAGGACGGATGGGAGCAGCGGGGGCCACCCCTCCTCCTCCTCCTCCTCCTCCTCCTCCTCCTCCTCCTCCTCCTCCTCCTCCTCCTCCTCCTCCTCCTCCTCCTTGGGCCAGGGGCACCCTTGGGGGGACCGCCGTACGGGCACGGCGAGCCCCCACCTCGTCATCGTCTTCGTCGTCGTCGTCGTCGTCGCCTCTTGCTTCAGGAGGGGACAAAACACACAGACACAATTAATCGTCGATTCCTCCGAAAATGTGGGAAAATATGGGAAGTGGGGGGGGAAGACAAAAACCTAGAAAATATGTGAAAATATGGGGGATCCTTTTATTTGTGTGTATTTATTTGTGTGTCCCAGTTTCCCTTCATTGCTCCTCGTCGACGTCGTCTCTTGCTCTTGCTCCTCGTCGAGGTCGCCTCTTGCTCCTCGTCGACGCCGTCGTCGTCGCCTCCTTGCTCCTGCTTTTCCAGGGAAGTCAGCGTGAACACGGCCGGAGCGCAGCCCGAGCCGGCCTGAACGCAGCCCGGCGCCGGCTAGTGTCGGGCCGGGCGAAAGGGGGGGATTGGGAAAGGGGGGGTTACGAAATTTGCTGCAGCCAGCTGGTTTCGGCCTCACCGAGGGGCCCATTCCTCGATGCACAGCTCCATCTGGCGCCCGGAGGCGCCGGGGAAATCAGCTACGTGAGCTGATTCTCAAACCCCCCCTTTGCTATCCCCCCCTTGCGCCCGACCCGATAGTGTCGCCGCGCGAGGGGCGCGTGCTGCAGGCCCGGCCCGGCGGGGCGGGGGCACACCGCAGCGGCCTGCGCGCGCGCGCGGCGCCGTGCGCCCTTCTTCGGCCGGGGGGCGCCGCTCCTGCCACACGCCTCGCGGGCCTTGGGGCGGGGGGTCAATGCAAACGGGGGTTTAGATAAAACAGGGCTGGGATCGGGATAAATCGATCCAGAGCGTTCCGGAGCGCTCTCAGAGCGTTCCGGAACGCTCGGCCGCGGCCGCGGCGCCCAATGGGATGGTGTGGCGTATAGTTTTTTCTCCCCGTATTCCCTTTTCGAGGAGCAACGAAAAATGTGTACACCAGGATCCTGTGTACACCAAGATCTGCTTTCTTGTGCAGGTGTTAGTGCAGGGCCTGAAAATCGTCGGTGTATAGAGCTTGCTTTCCTAGTACCCGTACCTTTTGGTTTTCTCAGAGGTCAGCCAGATTTTGCAGAATCCTGCAAGGCCAGGGTTGCACTGAGGCGAGCTAGCGAGCAGGATCCTGCAAAGCGCCCGACTGACCCGGGCTTGCACGAGCCCCGTTCAGTCGAAGCCCGCACGTCTCGATCTCGCTAGGCTGGGCGAGGGAGTGCGAGGAATACGAGCGGCGAACGTGTACACATCCGCGCCCTAGCGGTCGGGATTCCAGGGCGCGGGTCCCACGGACGAGTGGTCGCACGGACGTGTGGCGCGCGGGGCATCCGAGGACAAGACGCGCCATCGTCGCGGGGTTTCGGCCCAGGGTCTTGGCCCACGAGGCCGCGGATACGGATGTGCGACGAGGATCGCAGAGCCCCGATGTATGCAGTGAATAGGGGGCCACATGCGAACCCTACCCCGATCCCCTACGTTTTCTCAGAGGGAGGGTGGGGTTCACTTCACTCGAGAGCTCCCGAGCGAAGTGAACCCCACCCTCCCCCTCAGAAATCGTGGGGGGTAGGGGTAGGGTTCGCATGTGGCCCCCTCGTGAAGACGCTGGAATAAGGCAGGGGTGGACCCAATCGGTGTTTTGGCGAGTTCGTGGGCCGTCTTCGTTTCGGTCTCGTTTTGCGGTAGAGGCGGACTCGAGACAAAAAAGCGGGGGAAAACGAAAGCAAAACGAAAACGAAAGACACAGTTCAGGCTCGGCCCTGCTGGAGGGGGCCATGATGTTCGCAGCGTTCCGCAGGTCAGGTCTAGGGTTAGAAAGTCCAGGTTCGCTAGGGACTGGTTTCCTTCCAGAACAGCCGAAACCCTCCCGACACCCTCCGAAAACCCTCCTGGAAGGGCTCCTGGAGGCCATTCGACGGCCTTCGGGAGGGTTTTGGAAGGGTGTTCGCCGTTTGGGGGGGACAACCAGTCCCTGGCGAACCCTGGGCTTTCTCTAAGTCCAGGGCCCGGGTCGGGGAGGAGCCCTCGCGCGGCCGAGGCCCGCCGTGGCCAGGAAGGCCTCTCTCTTCCCGGGTTTGGCTTTCGTGATGATGGCGCGACGACGACGGTGCAGTCGGGGCGTGGACCTAAAAGGAACCCTAACTATGGAACGAGGCCCCTTTTTGTCCTCCGTGGACCGGGCGCGCGGGCGCCAGATCTACGGAATGGGGCCCTGAGGCACACAACATAAATAGTCTGGGCTTCTGTCTTCCCCTCCACTTCCCATACAGTCCAGGCGTTGACCCAAGGAACCCCAAATCAGGAACGAGGCCCCTTTTTGTCCGCAAGTTAAACTTCGATTCCCCATCGAAGACAGAAGGAAAACCTGAGGCAAGTTGTCAAATAAGCAAGGAACACCGAGCCCCTCCCCAACGAAAAGGGTTCCTTCTTCAGCGCCCCGACTGTACACTGCGTCGTCAGTTCGCCAATGAGGTTGGTGTTGTGGAAGCTCCAGCCTCCCATGCCGTTGCAGGGGGGCGTCCGTTTGGGCACCGACCTCAGTTGCCGACCAGACGACGTCGTGAAGGTATACATCGAGCTTTTCCCGGAGGAGTGGCGACTTCGTGTTGACGGGTTGTTGCCACTGTCTGTGTGTGTGTGTTCGTCGCTAGGTTAGCATCAGCACGGCTTGACGCATTTCGACAACTTTGCACGATGATCGCCGAAGAATTTGCAGAATGCCAAACATAATACCAGAAAGATGAACAAAATGTTGAAAACAAGCATGCAAACATTGATTAACATGTGGTCGACTGGATTTGGCCTGTGCAGAGGATAGCCCACGAAGATGGCTCAGGAAAGTGCCAGAACAGGTGTCCAGAGCAGTGTCCGAGACAATCCTAGAAAAAAGGCCCAGACACGATGTCCAGAAACATTTATGGAACAATGCCTGAAGGTGTCCGGAACGTGTCCGGAAAAGTGCCCGAGACAGTGTTCGGTGACGCCAGGGGGCCCGAATCCCAAGGATGTCTTGGGCGCCCACTCGTCTGTGAGTGATTCGCGAGGAAGCCTCTGGTGGGGACCCCCCCTGTGGGCTCCCCGCCTCAAGTTAGTAACCTGTAGCGGCCATCAGAAAATCAGTTGTTATATGATATGTCATAAAGTGGTGTGTGTGTGTGTGTATATACACACACCACTTTATGACATATGTGGTGTAGTGTGTGTGCGTGTGTGAATATATGTCATAAAAGGGGTCACAGAGCCCCCAAAGTGGACTGATTTGTCCTCCAAGGTGCCTTCAAAAGGACTCCCTCGAGGCACTCAGGAGGCGAAACGAGTACGTGTTGTGTATGGTTTTTGACGTTTTCTCGTGTTCTCGCTGTTTCGTGCTTCCGACGGTACAAGACAGCCCACGAGGCCCCAGAAATCAGCTCAAGACGGCCCAAGAGGCACCCAAAGAGGGCGCCACGACGGCGCAAGAGAGTTCCAAGACGGCCCAAGAGTGCCCCCACGACGGCCCAAGAGGCGCCCAATATTGCCCAAGAGGGCCCCAAGACGGCCCCAAGAGATGCCCAAGAGTGAACACGAACCGACAATTCGAGCCTGCCGCCCCAAGAGGCCTCCAGGAGGCCCCAAGAGGCCCCCAACAGAGCCCAAGAGGCCCCCTGGAGGCCCCACGAGGCCCCAAAGGGGCCCAAAAACACGCCCCACGAGCACCCCAAACGGCCCCCACGTGGCCTCCAAAACTGGTTCCAAGAGGCCCCCGCGAAGCCTACCACGAATCCCAAACGAATTTCTGAGAGGCCTCTAACCCACAACCCAGGCACGGTGGCGGGATGGGCCGAAGGCCAGTAACTATCGGGAGCGTGAACCGAGAACCCGAGATCTTCGCCCCAGGAGACCCCCAGGAGGGGTCGCGAGGTCCCCGAGAAGCATGGCAACAGATCACCGGTCGACTGGTCGATGAGAGCGGAGGAGGAGGAATCAGGAAGAGGCAGGAGGAAACAGAGAATACTGACCTCATTATTCATGACCGTCTGGTTGTCTCAATGCGATGCGGTCAGCACTCGACCAGCTAGAACCTAAGCGCGCGCGAAGCGCGCGCGATGGTTCTATCATCGATATTTGTATTTCAACAAAAAACCAGTTTGGTGGCACCTAGGAGCCTGAGGCCCAAGACAGTTTCGAGCGGGAGCCTCGTTTGTGAGCGAATTGCCAAGAAGTCTCGAGCGGGTGCCCCCTCCTCATGGGGCCCGCGTGTCATTTTGGTTGTCCGAGGCGGCCAACAGAAAAAACATAGGTTTGGTAATGCGTGAGGCCTCGCCAGGAAGTCTCGAACGGGAGCCCCGTCTGTGAGTGAATGGCGGGGAAGTCCCGAGAGGGAGGCCCGTCCTTTCTGGGCCCGCAGGTTATGTGGGCAAGCCGAGCTGGCCATCGGAAAACCATGTGAACGAACAGGTTTCGTGACACCTTGGGGCCTGAATGCCGTCAAAGTCTTCAGCGGGAGCCCCGTTTCTAGTGGGCTCGCGAGTCGTTTTGGTGATCCGAGGCGGCCACCAGAAAACTGTTTGACCAACATGAGTTTGGTGATACCTTGGGCCTGATCCGCGAGGAAGTCTCGAGCGGGAGCCTCCTCTGTGAGTGATTAGCGAGGAAGTCACGAGAGGGAGCCCATTTCTCATGTAGCCCGCATCTCATGTGGGCAAGACGCGGCGGCCACTGGACAACCCAAAAAGAATAAGTTTGTGACACCTGGGAGCCTCAACCCCGAAAAAGCTCGGAGCCCGCGTCTGCGAGTAAAATGCGAAGACGTCTCGACCAGAAGCCCTTTCCCAAATGGGGCCCGCGTGTCATTCTGGTGACCCGGGGCGGCCACCGGAAAACGATTTGAAGCATGTAATTAAGTTTGGTGATGCCTGGGGCCTGAGCCGCGGGGCAGCCTCGAGCGGGAGCCTGGTCCGTAAGTTCATCACGGCGAGGTCACGAGGGGGAGCCCCCCCCCCCATCGGGCCCGCAGATCCTATGGGCAGTCCCCAGCGGTCCTCGGGATACCGGGAGCCGGAACCCCGAGGGCGTCGCGAGCGGGAGCCTCGTTCCCGGAGCGACGCGAGGCTCTTTCGCGGGCGATGGCCTGCAGGTGCAAGTCGCCCTCTCTACGGGCCACCCTCGGGAGGGAACAAAAAGCACAGACACAATTAACCCTGGATTCCCCGGAAAATGTGGGAAAATATGGGAAGTGGGGGGGAAGACAAAAACACAGAAAGTATGGGAGATTATAGGGAATCCTGTTATCAATTTGTATTTATTTGTGTGTCCCAGGGCCCCTTCACACCCGTCATGTTGTTCTTCCGAGGTGGCCATCGGGATTTTCTGGGCGTTTGAACTTGAGGACGTCTCGAGCGGGAGCCTCGTCCTTTTGTCGAGCGTCCTTTGCAATCCGAGGCGGCCATCCTCAATCAGTCAGCCGTCCTCAATCAACCGATTGATACCAGATATGGAGAGAGCTCCGTAGTCACAAGGACAACGATAATGATCACTTCCGTATTGGTTTGGAACACTTTCATGTGGGGTCTTCCCGTCAAAGAAATTGTTCATGCAGTGGCGAAGCGCGTTGTTGGGCTTCTAATTTCACCAGAGACTGTTCCGATACCTTTCATGGTTTGCACGAATAGTTCTTAGAACATGTCTTTCTGAAGCAGTCTTAGCATAATCCATCGGCTCCATGATCTAACGCACCGGCGTTACTCCCAGAACGCTGGTGTGCTCTGAAAGCGTAACGTCGTATGCGTTTGGGGCTGCAGGGGCGGTCGGCTTTTCTCTTCATCGCCTCCAGTCACGATCTCAGCCTTACAGTCAACCCGCATAGTAAGGATGGGCAACCTTCCCAAGGGTACCCTCGCATCCTTTGCCTCCTCGGTCCATCCTTGGCCACTCTTGTTGGCCACGCCCCGCTCGACAAGCTTCGACGTGACCTTCCAAGGCCCTTGCATCGTCATCGCGCATCCTTACTATCCTCTGTATCGACTCCCGTAGCCCCTCGACTCCCGTAGCCCCTCGGCGTGACAGCGAGGCACTAGTGACCGGTCAGCTCTCGAGTGTAGTATACGTACTTATCACATGCTGGTGAATATTTCACGAAGTGGCCATTTATGCTGCCTGAAAGAAACACCTTACCATCCTGGTTGACTGTACTCCTCTCGATCCTTCTCCTCCTCGTCCTCTCCTTGCCGCGCCCCCAGCTCCCGCTCCTCGACGGGATCGCTCCCTCCTCCCGCCCCCTCCCTCCGCCCTGTCTCTCCGCGCGTCCTCTCCCGCTGCCCCCCCCCTGCGCTTAAGTCGGGCCTGCCCCTCCACAGGGGGAATACTCAAACATAGCAAACAACATAGTCGGGGGACGATTTGCTCGACGGTGTCGGACCATTTCGGGGGCTACTTTTGGAGTAGGTTTTTTAGCTTTTCGCCCAACATCCCCCTCAGTAGGGCGACAGGCCCGACTGAATCCTGCGCTCCTTCTGCTCGCTGCTGGCCTCCTCCTTCGATTCCATCGTCGATCTCGACGCGGGTCCTCGAGCTCGCCGGGCTCGACCCGACGCGGTCTCCGTCCTCCAGGGGGTCTGCTGCGGCCCGCACGCTCGCGCGGCGCTGCTAGGGCGTCCCCACGCAGCAGAGCTGAGCCGAGGGCTCGATGCCGAACCGACGCCTTGGCATCGCTCGGACGTGTGCATTTTTCCTTCGGCGAAGACCATCAAGGAGCATCCTCGATCACTTCGCGAAAAAAACACGCACGAAATTGAAACATACACAGGGAATGGACGTCCGATCGATGGCCAGGTCCCGACGCAGCAGATCCGAGCCGAGGGCTCGATGCCGAACCGACGCAGGCCGACTCGGCACTCGACACTCGCTGCGATCTTGTCCGACGTCGTCGCTCCCGCCTGGGAGGATGGAGGGGGGATCAGGGAGGAGGGACGGAGGGACGGAGGAGCGAGGGGGGAGGAGGGACGGAGGGAGGGGGGAGGAGGGAGGTGGGGAGGGGCAAGCCAGGTGCGCTAGCGTAGATCTCGTATCTATTCGCATTGCCGGATGTCGAGCAGGGCAATGTTCCAGAGAGGGTACGCGATGGATGGAAAAGCATGGCGTAGAAGAGCACGGCCGAGCATAGCGTGTCGTACTATGACGTGGCGTTGCGTAGTGAAGCGTTGCAGAATAAAGCATAGCATCTCAAAGCATGGCATCGCACAGTGGTGCACAAAACAGCATCGCATTGCATGACGTGGCATGGCACCGGACGACTTGGAGGATAAGTGACAGTGTTTGTGTTGAATGCCGGCTCCATGTTCTCCGCAATCGTGCTTGTCCGATGTGGTTTTGAGTGCCAAGTGCCGTCCAGAGGCGCGGGAATGAGGCCAGCGCTGCATCGGGAGCACGATTTAGAATGACCGAAGCGCGGAAATGAGGGCGGTGGTGCAGCGGGAGCACCATTTTGGAAAAACCAGAAAGGACCAGATTGGAAGAAAAACATGCGAGAAACCAAGTCATGAAATCTCGTGTGAGAAGGAAAGCAATTCGCGGAGAGGACGGGCCACTCTCCGGACAGTCTCAGTGGAGGAAGGAGACTAGTATTCATATTGTGTCATCGTGGACGAGGGAGGAGGGACCCTGACCTTCCAGAGTGCTATAAAATAACACTCCAGACCTATAGATCTATCTGGACTGCCTCAAACCTCGACAGGAATTAGGACGTCGACGTCCTGGTGCTATTTTTTAGCCCTCCTGGAAGGTCAGGGGAGGAGACAGGATGTTGGCCGATCCTGCCTCTCCAGACCCCCCCACCCCCCTCCCGCCGCCGTCACCCGGGCGCAGGTCTGCGGCCGCTGCCTCCTCTCGTGCTGCTCGTGGCCCTCTTTTGGGGGCCTCTTGGGCTGTCTTGTGGCGGTCTTGGGGGCCTCTTGGGCCGTCGTGGAGCGTCAGAGCCTCGAAATGTCGAGGACCCCCCGAACACTGAAAACCTGATGTGAAATCGGCGAGTTTGGCCTCTCGGGGCCCCTTTGGGAAGACTCCTGGGGCCCTCCTCCTGCTCGCGCCCCCCAGTGCTGAATGCGGAAGGTCTATATTTAAGTCGGGCCTGTCCCTCTACAGGAGGAACATTCAAACATAGTAAAACATTGTCGAGGGACGATTTTTTTTACCATTTTGGAACACTTGTCGGGCATTTTCATGGTATTTTTTGTTTTTCGTCCAAAATCCCCCTGTAGGGGGACAGGCCCGACCTAAAGTCTATATACAGGGGAGCTCGGACGCATGGCCCGCCAGCTCTCCCGCCCTCTCCGAGCCCTGGCAGGCACCCCCCCCCAGGTGGCGAGTGCGGCGCACGCATCCGCATCTCCCCGCCCTCGCGGCCTGGCCTCTTGGGCGCGCGCTCCCGTGGATGCGCGGCCGCAGGGCTGCGTTCCGCGCGCGGCGTCCGTGGAGAGCTTGGCATCGCCCGGACGTGTGCACTGCTTCCCGGCGGGGAGTATGGAGGAGCATCCTGGATCCTCTTGGGGAACCAACCACGCACGAAGCCGAAAAAAGCACAGGGGATGGACGCCCGAGCGATGGCCAGAGAGGCGCGCCCCATGTCCGAGGGGTCGCGGCCCGGGGGCCCGGCCCGAGAGGCCGTGGATACGTCGGGATGAAATCCACATGGGCTCCTGCACCTCGAGAATCAATCCGTCTCGTGAGTCACCTTCTGCAGGCTCAGGCCTCGGAGACCCACCGGAACGGCATTTCGGGTGGCACCCCTTGCCCTCCACCCAGAGAAGATGCCCGGGATACGGATCCTCCCGTGCCGCCCACGGTGCATCGGGGGCGGCAAAGAGGGGGGTGATGACTAGGGAGGGGGTGGACATCACGGCGGGGGCCATGATGCTTCCCGAGATCTCGTGGCGCATCTTCTTACTTCGTGACGTGACTGGCCCCCCCCCCGGGCCGCGCACATGCCGCCGGCCATGATTTGCACCCCCCGCTCTTGGACGCCCCCCTCTTGGCCGCCCCCGGGGAAAGGGCCCGGAAGGCCAGGGGGGCCCATTCAAGAAATGGTGTCGAGACATGGGATGCCCGGGTCCCTGGAGCCCAGGGTGCCTCCTGGACCTCCCCGGAGGCCCAGATGGCTTCCAGAGCACACCGGGAGCTCCCGAACCAGGTGGTCAGATGTCAGGTGGTTAGATATACATCAGGTGGTGCGCCCCCCGCTCTTGGACGCCCCCCTCTTGGCCGCTCCCGACGCGATGCAGTCCCGTCGCCCCGGACGGGCCTCGCCACCGAGGGTGCCCCGTGGGCTCGTGGCCCGGTCCCCCTGCCTTGGGGTCTCCGGCCCTGGCCCGGGGCCTCGGGTCGGGCAGGTCCCTCTGCAGCAGGAGTGCTCCAGAGTAGTAAACAAGGTCTGGTGACGTTTTGTTTCGTGCTCTTGTGTCCATACGTATGTATGCATGTATATATTTATATATGTAAATAACTATATATATACACATATATATATATATGTATATACATCGTTAATCACACATATGTGTATATCTATGTATATACATACATACACAAATATATACATGCATACATACATACATATACATACATACATATATAAAAACACACATACATGCATGCATGCATGCATGCATACATGCATGCATGCATGCATGCATGCATGCATGCATGCATGCATCTATACATACATACATACATACATACATACATACATACACACACAAACATACATACATAAACACACACATACATACATACATACATACATACATACATACATGCATACATGCATACATGCATACATGCATACATGCATACATGCATACATGCATACATGCATACATGCATACATGCATACATGCATACATGCATACATACATACATACATACATACATACACACATACATATATACATACATACATACATGCATGCATACATGCATGCACGCATACATGCATACATGCATACATGCATACATGCATACATGCATCCATTCATACATGCATACATACATGCATACATGCATACATGCACACATGCATACATTCATACATGCATACATGCATGCATGCATGTATGCATGCATGTATGCATACATACATACATACATACATACATACATGCTTACATACACATATACATACATACATACAAACATACATGCATGCATGCATGCATGTATGCATGCATGCATGCATAAATACATACATGCATACATACATACATACATACATACATACATACATACATATTCACACATCTATTCATGCCTTTACATACTATATGCATTATTCATTGATTCATAGACATATATAAATATATGCAAACATAGATATACATACTCATAAGAGATGCACCTTCCAATTCCAGCCTGTAGGAGGACGTGCCCCCGCCGCTTCGTCCGTGCCGCTGCCCCCGCCGCCGCTCCGCCCCCCCGGCGCGCCCTCCTGCGCCTGCACGGGGTCTGCCTGCCCCCCCCCCCGCCAGGCCTCCACGGGAGCCTCGCCCTCCGAGCGGTCCGCTCCTTGTGGGGGAGCCTCGTCTGCCCTCCTCTTCCGCCTCCCTCTCCGCCTCCTTCGGCTGCGGCTCCTCTGGTGGTTCGCACTCTAACCTTGCCTTGGTCCGAGATCGGGCATCATCCGGCTTCCTCCCGCTCGCTTCGGGGTCATCCCGCTTCATCCGGCGGAATCCCGCTCATAATCATTCCGCGGCTCCATCTGGCGTAAAGCCTCCGAAATTCGGGCCGACCGAAAGGGGGAGATTGGGGAAGAGGGGTTTACGACATCTGCTGCATGCAGCTGGTTTCGGCCCCTCCGAGGGGCCCATTCCTCGATGCATAGGCGCCTCCCGGCACCGGGAGGCTCTGGGAAAATCAGCTACGTCAGCTGATTCTCAACCCTCCCTTTTCCCTGACCTTCCAGGAGGGCAGAAAATGTAGCACCAGAACGTCGACGTCCTAATTCCTGTCGATGTTTGAGGCAGTCCAGAGATCTATAGGTCTGGAGTGCTATTTTTTAGCGCAAGGTCAGGGTTGCTATCCCCCCTTTCGCCCAGCTCGATTAATCAATCCGCGGCCCCATCCGGCGTACAGCCCCTCCGAAATGGGGCTCAGCTGTCCTCGGTCCTTCCGGCGAAGACCTCCCAGCAGTTGCCTCCTCCGTATTTTTGGGGTCCGGCCCCGTGCTTACAGGGCTCCGGTGTGTCCATGCTGCGCCCTGCGTCGTCGCTGCGCCCTGCGCCCTCCCCTACCATGTGAGGGTGTGCCGCCATGCGCCGCCAGTGCAGTATCCATTGGCGCGGCATGCTTATGGGCATGTTTCCCACCACTACCATAAGTTGGAGGGGGGAAGGAGGTGAAGGACGAGGAGGAGGAAGAGGAGGAGGAGGAGGAGGAGGAGGAGGAGGAGGACGAGGACGAGGCGGAGGAGGAGGAGGAGGAGGAGGAGGAGGAGGAGGAGGCGGAGGGGGAGGAGGAGGAGGAGGAGGAGGAGGAGGAGGAGGAGGAGGAGGAGGAGTAGGAGGAGGAGGAGGAGAGGTAGGAGGAGGGGAGGAGGAGGAGGGCGGAGGAGAGAGGCGGAGGCGGAGGCGGAAGGCGGAGGCGGAGGCGGAGGCGGAGGCGGAGGAGGAGGCGGAGGCGGAGGCGGAGGCGGAGCGGAGGCCGAAGGCGGAGGCGGAGCGGAGGCGGAGGCGGAGGCGGAGGCGGAGGGCGGAGGCGGAGGCGGAGGCAC